TCCAATATTGGATACTGCTTATAGATGTATTTACACCACAACCATCTCTAGTAACCATGTCCAATATTGGATACTGCTTATAGATGTATTTACACCACAACCATCTCTAGTAACCATGTTCAATATCTGACACTGCTTATAGATGTATTTACACCACAACCATCTCTAGTAACCATGTCCAATATTGGATACTGCTTATAAATGTATTTACACCATAACCATCTCTAGTAACCATGTTCAATATCTGACACTGCTTATAGATGTATTTACACTACAACCATCTCTAGTAACCATGTCCAATATTGGATACTGCTTATAAATGTATTTACACCACAACCATCTCTAGTAACCATGTCCAATATTGGATACTGCTTATAGATGTATTTACATCACAACCATCTCTCGTAACCATGTCCAATACTGGATAGTGCTTATAGATGTATTTACATCACAACCATCTCTAGTAACCATGTTCAATATCTGACACTGCTTATTGCATGGGTATTAAAAATACCATTTGATTTGTAAACAAATTAAGAAGTCTGGAGAACATTTTAACTTTTAAGTGATTTATAACAACTTACAGAAGTTTATTTCGTGTCTTTGGATTTTGTTTAACCATTCAATTTGAGATATCTTTCTTAATAAACATCAAAATAAATACAAATCAATATGTCTAAAAATAATTTAAACATTTTCTTTTGTTACTTTTTTAAAGATATCGAGATAGTAGTTAATATTTTATCCAAAGCTGATAGTAGTTTCGTATGGTGTTTCCTAGTCCGGACACAGGGTGAGCATGTTTTGGTGTAACGGGGATTCGAACCCGCGACCTGCAAATTGCGAGTCGAGTGCCCTAACCACCTGGCCATTTGCAAACAATGGACAAGAAAGACGTATAAAGTACGTAATCAACATGATCCTGAATATGTTGGGTTTTGTTTTATTTCGACATTTTAGTACTTTTTAAATTTTGATATTTATTTATAAGCACCAAAAAAAAACAGTTCATTTTGAGCAAAACAAACATAAATCGAAACATATGCCCATCATATGGTTGCACATATACCTTGGAGGTTAAGTGATTAAGATTTAGATTTTTTTTTCAGACCTTTGCATCCGAGTAACCTTGTAACTACATTGCTTAACCTTTATGTTTTTTGTTGCTTTTTCCTCAATGGCGCTTACTTTTGCTGACGTAAGCACTTAAAAGATTAATCTCGTTCTATTGATTTTTAATGATTTCTGTTGGAAAATAATTGTTTAAGAAATATCACTCGCCTACTTTTGAGTCTTGAACAGAAAAGACAGTATGCTAGAGGTGAACGAACCGACTAGCCTTTTGTTTAAAAAGACTACTCAGCATTTTGAATATCTTGGAAGAGATTTTTGGCCGATAGACTGCAGAAATTTAGATACGCGAAGGATCTTGAAATGTTAATGAAATAATTTCGTATGTGATGATAACACTCAAATAGCTAAGAGCATCAACCTGAGCTCACACGCAGGGAAGCAACTCTCAGAAAAGCGCTTGTATTTAGTCCCACGTGGAATGATACGTTCATATTTTTGTGGATTAGTTTCGTTAAAAAGATTACTTTTCCTACGTCTACTATGTTAAAAGTTTTTTGCATTTCAAAACTGACTATTTTCATTTTTATAAGAAAAAAGTCACCAAAAGATAAAATATCACGCTCTTTGATGTTTAAATATTTTCTTGAGAAAACCATTGCAAAAAGATATGTTTATTGCAACATACAATTAATCTAGCAGTTTCCAAATAGATATCCTCAAAAACTAAAGCTACTGTGTGCATGAAATTATATGAAATTCTTAACCTTCTCTGCACATGTTCGGTCTATGATGCGCAAGGTGTTCTCTTTCATTGTGATTATATTTCTTTACTGATTACATTAACTACATGTAATCATAGACCAAAGATATCAGAAAATGCTAAATTGAAATGTTATATAAAAATATGATCAATTTATTTATACTTTGGGCACTCTTTACATAACTTCTCATCCCCAAAGGCGAATATTAACCTTTAGTCTGCGTTTCCTTTATGTTGGGGAAATTTCTGTGAAACATGTCTTCACTAGTTTTCAAAAGAAAACAGATACATTTCATTCTAGATTTTGTAATAATTATATGTGCAGCATCTAGTAAACACGGCTTATATACAGTTAGCTCATAATTTCAACTTTTTTGTACTAATGTGAACAAACTCACTATTTGGGCTACCATGTCACCACTCCAAACATTATCCAAATACTTTATTTTTTGTTGATTATTTTAATTTCCTATTAATCTGATCAAAATATATTCATTAGCCTTTTCTCATTATGATTAACTTTGATTATAAGGACAGTATTAGAATATCGGATGTTTCAGATTATGCCACAATGGTTATCTTAATGATAGAAACAAACGCAGGCGTTGTCAAATAAATTTATAATCTTGAAAACATAACCGTTGAATCAGCGTTTGTATAGATACATGTTTATTTTTAGAGTGGCCAATCTGAGACGTCCATTGTATGAGCTGTTGAATTCCAGTTCAGTGTATTATGCAATGATGTCGGGTTTACGAGTGTGGACGTGAAAGTGATCACCAGCAAATCTGTATTTTTTTTTTATGTGCTCTTGAAACTGCAATTTTATATTTGATAATTGTGTCTGTTCCATATGTACAGATTCAAACCACTGTTTCAGTGTAATTTCAAAGCTGTTGCCAATAAAATGTTAAGAATGACAATCATATCTTAGACTCATTGTTGTTCAATAATGTGCAGATCCAATAAGTTACAGTTTGAATTATAGAGCCGTGTTTTTTTAAATAAATTTGCTATAGACAACAACAACAACAAATTAGCATTAGGTAAAGAAAATCATTATTACTGAAGCATTGGATGCAATAATTACTGACATAGGAAAAGGAAAAATTCGTGCCTTCAGGGATTCTAAAAATAAGAAGAATTTACAGCTTTATTTGATATTCTATACCATAACAATTCCCATCTTAACACCAATAGCATAAAGTCATTTTATTCTAAAACAAAGAAATGTGCTGTGCTTCAAATACGACATAGCGTATTTGCAACTTGATACCAAAATGACAGAATGTATTTGTGAATTTTGCATATCCGGCTAAGTATCATAAGTCTTTTTAGATTATCATATTAAATTACAATATTTGAGAAAAAATACTAATTTATAATGATTCCTTAATTATACAATCTAATAATGAATCAAGAATACTAGAAATTATCAAGAACTTAAAAGAAGAAAGAAAATAGGATATTATGGATGTTCAGATTTCATAAAACCAGATTTTAGAAATAAACGAGAAGTTATCTTATTCCTGAAAACTCTCACAAACTTTAACTATAAGATTACACAGAGATTTGTCTTTTTCCTGGATATCCTATATTCGCAGATTCCTACATTCTACAAATTCTTTGGAATAGGTTGTACGAACATGTACATTTTCCATATATATCATATGAATTCTACGGATGTTACAAAGAGATCTGGTGATTGTGGATTTTACTGGTACCTAATGGTTATGTAAATTACTGCCTATATCATATACTTTATCTCATCCAATTTTAGTCTATAGTTAATAAGTTAATAAGAACTTCTCATCAACAGCAAGATAACCATAACATCACTTCCATCTTATGGGGTCATTGTCAGTAAGTTTAAACTAGTTCTTATCAAAAGTAAGATAACCATAACAACACTTCCCTCTTATGCGGTCATTGTCAGTAAGTTTAAACTACTTCTCATCAAAAGTAAGACAACCATAACAACATTTCCCTCTTATGGGGACATTGTCAGTATGTTTAAACTACTTCTTATCAAAAATAAGATAACCATAACAACACTTCTCTCTTATGCGGTCATTGCTAGTAAGTTTAAACTACTTCTTATCAAAAGTATGATAATCATAACAACACTTCCCTCTTATGGGGACATTGTCAGTAAGTTTAAACTAGTTCTTATCAAAAGTATGATAACCATAACAACACTTCCCTCTTATGTGAAAATTGTCAGTATGTTTAAAGTACTTTTTTCAAAAGTAAGATAACCATAACAACACTTCCCTCTTATGGGGACATTGTCAGTATGTTTAAACTACTTCTTATCAAAAATAAGACAACCATAACAACACTTCTCTCTTATGGGGGCATTGTCAATATGCGTAACCTAGATTTAGTTCACTAATACTGGTATAAGTTTTATTTATTTTCCATAAAGAAACTATGCTTGTCTTCAACTAAGACTTAGTTTAGATTGTTAAGTTCTACAGTTAAAAAATATCGTCTCTGATGCCTCGCAATGGTTTCTCTTTCATTTTAACTAAAACATTTCTCAACCATAGGTGTAAATCATGTCAATCAAATTTAGATTATTTTTTAATATTTGATAGAAGATAACATGTATTTATGCGATATCTATAAAAAAAGATTGAAAAATTATTTGTTATATCTTAAACACAATGATCACTTTTAGCATTTTGGGATCGAACATAAGTGATAATTCTGATATTTTGAAGTATTTCTACAATACTTTTGAAGTAGTGTTTGCTATACTACGAAACGATGAGAAAGAACACAATATAACTCCACAGTGTTTGATGTACCAGATCGACACAAATTACGACCGAATATACCTTGAAGAAAAAGTAATAAATATTATGGACTCTCGATACGAAAACAGAACCCCAGAAGAAAGCAATACCACCAATTACTAACACTCTTGTGTTCCAAAACTACCATAACATGAACATGAGACATTGTAAACGGTCTTCGTACTGGAGTGTGAGTGAATACGTACACGTTATTATGATAGGTTTGAAAAAAAAAGTATTTTGTTTTTTCTCTGATATATTTAAAAAAATAGACGTTCAGTGACAAACAAATACACTAAAAATGAGTGTCCATTACTAGGTTTGGCACTGTAATGTACAGTCAATAAAACAGTTATATTTAATTAACACGTAATCTACAATAATAATAGTACATTAATTAAAGATATATATATAGTGTGAAACAGAATGAAAAAGATACAATTGTTTTCTCTGAACTCATGTTGATCTTTATGCTGACTTTTTTTTTCGTTTGATACTTAAAATATTATCCATGTAGTGTTAGGATTGATGAGTTGCTACTAAAGAGACTTTTAATAAACTAACACCTTGGTCACGAGAACATTTCTGTATCCCTCTAGTGGCAACCTTTTCTTCGGCAACAAAGATAGATTAATGATGTTCAGTCGTATTTGTTGAAATAAAATGTCTCGTTTAGAAATAGCGCATAATTCGAAATTAACATTGTGAGATGTATTCACCAGATAATAGGAGCTGATGGTATTAACATAAAAACAAACAATCGTTCATACATTGTGGAATGTATCCACCAGATAATAGGAGCTTATGGTATTAACATAAAAACAAACAATCGTTCATACATTGTGGATTGTACCCACCAGATAATAGGAGCTGATGGTATTAACATAAAAACAAACAATCGTTCATACATTGTGGATTGTATCCACCAGATAATAGGAGCTGATGGTATTAACATAAGACCAAACAATCGTTCTTACATTGTGGAATGTATCCACAATATAATAGGATCTGGTGGTATTAACATAAGAATAAACAATTGATCATACATTGTGGAATGTATTCACCAGATAATAGGATCTGATGGTATTAACACAATAACAAACAATCGTTCGTACATTGTGGAATATATCCACCAGATAATAGGAGCTGATGGCATTAACATAAGAACAAACAATCGTTCATACATTGTGGAATGTATCCACCAGATAATAGGAGCTGATGGTATTAACACAAGAACAAACAATCGTTCATACATTGTGGAATGTATCCACCAGATAATAGAAGCTGATGGTATTAACATAAGAACAAACAATCGCTCATACGTTGTGGGATGTATCTACCAGATAATAGGAGCAAGTGGTATTAACACAAGAACAAACAATCGTAACACACTAAACATAGTTTCAATTTTCAACTTGCAAATCTATTATGAAAATGTTTCAATAATCTTCAAAAGAGAGAGCTGGTGCAATTTGATATGCAAATTAACTACAATATTGCAATGATATGTGAAGACAAAAAAAAAATAAACTAAATGAGCCCAATGCCTTAATTAAGAGAAGTTTTGAAAATGTATAAATACATGTGTAAAAAGCCTCCAGAATTACACGGTCTTGCCTATTGATCTGCTTTCAAGATAGAAGAACTACCTTTATCACTTGTTATTTTTACTGACATATACCATACTTTTATAATTATAAACATACCTCTTCTGTTTTACATCAGTATTTTTTGAGACGAAAAATGTTATGTCAAGTAACGCCAAGTTGACTGAATATAAGTTCATGAAAGGTAATAAGTGTGACATCACGTACAAACATGACTGATTGTCTGAGTCATTTCTAATTAATGAAACACACGGCGAATTGTTATCAAAATAAACGTTTATTATCATAGCTCAAACAACTGTACGTATTTTAAGTTTGCAACAAAGCAAAGTGACTTTTTTGATGTATGTTTTTTCACAATCATTTACCTGGCTTTGTGTAACAAATTGTTAAAGTCGAAATACATATTAATTGATAGCAACAGTTAATCTAACTGTCCCTTTAGGAGTTATTTTAGCAGCGATCAAAATAACTACATGATCAAACTCACACAGTGTGCCTTAACGTATTCTGTGTATGAAGTAAGTAACTTCTCTTTCAGGTGACAGTTCAAATGATGTGTGAACAAGCTATAATGGGTCATTTAGGAAGTTTAGTGGAAAATACGTCTCGGCTATTTTGACTGAACAGCTACTAAGCTTGTCAGAGATGTATTGCATGCAATGTTAGCTTCCAAATACTTGGCATTCTACGACGCTTACAAACAGCGTGCTGTATTGCAGAAATATTTTGAATAATATATTTGTATTACAAATTCAAGACATCAGCTTGTACTGAATTGCTCCTAACGAAATAAGCGACACAGTTTAAACAAATTCCAGTTATTTATGAATTCTTTTAATCTTTCGGTATTACTGTGCTTGCTCTCAGAACAAATAAAGTCATACGAAAGCACAAACATTTATTGGTTGGTATGTACTTTGTTAGAAATGGAATTTCATTTTAGTTAGATCTTCGAAATATATAAAATACATATTCGAACTTCCTAAATATTCTACAGAAAACCCATGTTTTTAAAACATAACAATAGATATCGCATTATTGATTATATTAACATGGGCGTAGGCCGAAATCTATAAAGGGGGGGTTACTTTAGAAAGATAGAGAAAATAAGTACCAAGCCATTTTGGGCAGTCCGGAGGATGCCCTCTTGAAGAGATTTTGTAATATTTGCTGAAAATCATGCATTTAGATGGTAACTGAGGCTGTTTTTTATACTTTATAAATATGTTTTATACATATATATGTCTGCAATTTAGGGCTACGAACGTAAGTAACCACAGCACGCTCCCCATGATTATGCGCGTGCATTAATTATAAATATACCTATTTTGCTTTCTATTAGACTTTTATGAGGTACAAGATCTCATATCAAGTAACACCAAAATGGCTGTATATTATTTCATAAAAGGTAACAGGTGTGATATCACATCACAATAAGACTGATAATGATGG